AGTCTCTGCAAACATTGGATTACCTGAAAGACAAACATTGAATACCAATATTAATCCTTCAAGTATGGATCATCAGACTCCCAATAACGGAGTATTTGTAGAATTCAACAAGATTACCCTATTAAAAAAAAAAGACATCTCACCTTATTGGGAACATTAGCTCTGAGGTACACAGATAGAGCCAAAGTTGGGTCGCTTTGTTTCACCAAATCACCTAGTTCTTCACTGCATTCAAGCTGTAAAATAAATCACACCATCACAGATCAATCAAATCATCTACACTTAGGTGAGATGGTATCTTTATGTACCGTACTCGACCGCGTTAGCGCCCATGCCCGGGCAAGTGCCCACCCCCCACTTTTGCACATTTTTTATATTTGGGGTCACATTCGGCAAAGCGCCCACCCCTTCAAAATCCAACTAATTTAAAACTTGGTCTTGCGTAACGAATCTTGGTAATCGTTTATATATGATACAGCGTGGATATTGACCGCTGTGAACATGTTGTGAATGCGTAGAACACGGTAACCGTGCGTAAACTACGCTTCGACAATGACCTGTTAATACAAGTAAAATGCGATAAATATTTCATGCCATATTCAGTTTACCTCTCAAAAATGGCTAGTTACTATTTTTTTGGAAAAACCATGTCGTTTATTCGCTGAAATCAATTCCAACAGATCGTACTTCGACATCGATAATTCACTTCCGCATTGCGTTACCGGAAAGTCTTCGGGAATTTCTAAAGAATTGCGTCAGTACAACACAGCATTTTGATTAGTTACATGTAATAACCAACTTGACCCATTAGGTCAAAGGACGCTGCTGTAGGTCAAATCTGCAATTGCATCATGGCGGAAAGTGATTTTCATCGAGAGTTTGAGTACGATCCAACACCTTCGTCAGTGGAGATAATATGACAATTTTGACTTTGACTCAAATGTTTTTAATTCCGTAAATTAAGGTGGTACGTAATTAATATTGTAATAAAATGTGCGTATTTTTTGTGATCATTTCTGTTTCTTCATTGTGAAAATCAACGACGACTCAACTAATTTAGTAATTTGATTTTCCCTCAAAGACCTAATCTGTCACTTGATGAATACAAATTTTCATTTGCACTCTTTTTCGAGGGGGGTGCTCGGGTAAGCGCCCACCCCTACAAAATCGTGATTTTCTGAGTTGAGGCCCCTGGGCGCTGACGCGGTCGAGTACGGTATTACCAACTATGACCATTAGGAATGACGGACAACTTTAGTTTGAACATGTTTGCCATACTATGTTCAGCTATAGACACTGCTACAGAAGGTACTGTCTAGGACATTTGCGATAATAAAACTGTACTTCAGGGTTCTCCACGAGGGGTTTTTACAGGGCGCCGCGCC